TAGCTTGAGGGTATGCGAACAGTATCTTGCCTTTAAACATCGGTCAGCTCACCAGTATTTTGCTTAAGGTGGCCTAACTGTTGATGAGACGTTGAAGGCCAAAATCGGTCTTGGGTTTTACTTCTATTAAACTCAAATACTGCTGATACGATGCACTTCCAGAAGTTCGCGTGGCTAATGGGATGCGTAAAGGATACTTATTTTTTATGTGGATGGACAGATATGGGAAGGAGACGTCAGCTTATTTTGCTCCTTAAATGGACGCTCAATAATTATTACTATGCGGAATGCACTATTTTTAGATACGGGTCACTCGAAGACAAATCATCATCATCATCAACACTACAGGGTTGGTAAAATTAATTATCGTAGTGGGGAATCAACGGTGACTGCTACGTGGAGAGACTGGCTCCTGCCATAGGAAAGTGGAATTGACGATGCTGATTGCGATTTGTCAGCGGGGTAGCGGCAGCGTGGGGGGGGGGGGGGGGGGCAGAACACGGAGTGACTCTTGAACGAATAATCGCGAGAATTTTTTTTACCATACTTCACCACGCTGGTCAGTGCGGTTTGCCGAAGGTGTGGGACCATAGATGTGGGAGCAGAGTACTGGACAACAATGGATGATGTTGCTCTGCCCTACGCTGCCCATCACGGTCTAAATAATATGAATAAATGTAGTAATACGGTAATTGTAAATTGCAAGGTTTTTTTCTTTCTTAATTCATTGAATCTAATATTTGTGGGCAAAATAGATATCTCGACCATGATCATTCCACTGCTGGATGATGGCCTCCACGATCCGTCGTCATGTTTTCCCCTCGGTTCGTGGTTGGGGTTGGAGTTATGCTGAGCGAGCGGTTACGCTCAGGGCTACCGGATTCTCTTCGGATTATAAGACGCTCCGGATAGTAAGACGCACCCAAAGCGTTGTGCATGGTGTCAATACATTTACACAAATTTGGTTACACACACACACCGGATTATAAGACGCTCCGGATAGTAAGACGCACCCAAAGCGTTGTGCATGGTGTCAATACATTTACACAAATCTGGTTACACACACACCGGATTATAAGACGCTCCGGATAGTAAGACGCACCCTAAGCGTTGTGCATGGTGTCAAAACATTTACACAAATCTGGTTACACACACACCGGATTATAAGACGCAATCCCCACCTTTTTTCGGGGGGGGGGTGCTGTGGGGGTGGCGGTCAGTGCGTCTTATAATCCGGGGAACACGAGAGTGGATGCGAGTTTCGAGGATTCTACCTTCCACAGCATGAACCATGGGCACATGCCGCCCGAAGAAGTCAAACCGAACGCAGACACCAGAGGGCGCTGGTCCGTGGACTGCTACCCCACGACGCTTTGGGGAAAACCCTCTCAGCCATCGAGTGGGATTGAGTATTGACAACCCTTTAGTCACGTCGTATACCTTGGGTCGTGGGTATTTCAGATCTCTGTGTGTGTGCACATGTGTGTTGTTGAAGAGAGGCAATCGGCATTGGTTGCCTAGCAAGTTCGCACTTGCCCCGACGTTCTGTTGAGGCTAGAGAAAATTTGTCCTTTCTGTCTGTCTCGCATGTCGGTTTAACACGTAGTTGTAGGCTTTCGCGACCAATATCATCCATAGGATATTTTTTTTGGGTTAGGTCGCGTAAATATATAAATGTGTCGTTAAACCCGCCACCACCCGACACAGCCAACTAGTCAGGGTTGTCACCTAAACAGAACGTGGCCAATTCGCCACTAGTACAGCACTAACCGGTGTGTTGGAGAGCCAAGCCACAACATTTACAATCCGAATACGACGTTTCGCAAGTAATTACAATCAGCTTCATCAACACACCCGTGTGCTGTACTAGTGACGAATTGGCCACGTTCTGTTAACGTGACAATCCTTACTAGTTGGCTGTGTCGGGTGGTGGCGGGTTTTACGACACATTTATATATTTACGCGATCTAACCCTAAAACAACCTCTATGATGGACGTCTTGTGTGTGTGTGTATCGTCTTGTCAAGCCGTATGCGGTGACGATTCCGGTCGATCGTGTAAATTACATCTGTCAGGTTTTGTTTTTACATACACTAATGATGCTTATGCGTGCACGAGTTAGTTTACCATTAATTACAATATACCCATTAAACAGTGTTTCGTCGTTGTTGTTGTTGTTGTTAAAATTGTTAATGTACAGCCCTGTGTATCGCATCCAGGCTATGTATGCATCTCAATTAGTGCGTCGCTAAATAAAGGCCGTGCGATCTATTTATGCACGCATTAATGTGAAGTATTATTACTATTAATGTGCTATTCTGTGTTTAGTTACCCCTGCGTGTACGTAAGTGACTCACGATTCAATTCCCATTATCTTGATTAGTTTTACGCTTGTATACGCGCATGAGGCCAATTAGCTGTTGACGAATGAGTAGATTTTCAGTGACCTAACCAAAGCATCGTACTTTACAATGGACTAATTAAAGTGTACGTTGTGCCTTTTAGCAACTGCTCCACAGCAATTCAAATGTTTCCGCGGTTGCATTACTTTTTAAACAAAAAAATTAAGGCATTTGATTAATGTACATAGGAAAGGAGAATTCACTTTCGTTTTAGCAACCGGATCGCAATCTATGGCTGGTGGAGCGGTTAGCGCACTGCACTGTGAACCCGGCTACCCGAGGTCGATTTCCATCCCTGACCGTTGTTAACATCAGTGGTGAATAATATCAATAATAATACCGGAACCGGTCCTGGATCGAGTTCATTTCGTCGCTCCATCTCCCCCGTTGCGGTTTGGATGACGTTCCACCACCAGTCTCGCTCACCACGGCCGTCGTCTCTCCCGAGTTATTACGTCATACCCAAGCCTCTTTGCGTTCCGTTTTTCTCTGTCAGTGCCTTCTGTCTCTGAACCGAGTGTCAGAGCAGTAGCACGTGCACCGATTACAATAGGGTTTGTTTGTTGGCACGTAGTTTTGTTAGTTGTTATTTTTGTTACCTCCGATTAGCGCGGTTGGCAACAAACATACATCAAGCAAAAAATATTCCAAAATCACTGCAACCTGCTCTCAGTTTGATCTCGGTCTGCCTTCGATAACCGCCCTACACAATATATGTAAATCATATAATAACTCAAGAGACCAGGATGAGTCTCATTTGGGTGAGCGACTTGGGGCATTCGTCTGCCAGTACGGGGTGGCGATTGCTGCTGCTGTTGTTGTTGTGCGGGTGTGTATACAGTAATCCCGACTGGGTAATTTTCTCATGTCATTTTAACAGAAAGTTGGCAAATTTGGACCCTGACGCCGGAAAGCAATGGCCTGCTCTTGTGAAATGACGTCGGGGGATCTTGTTTAATGTCCAATCATCTGTACGCAGTATTAACCAGGGCGGCCGGCGAAAATCGGACCGCGAACCTCTCTGCAACGAGCGGCGAACGTGGCTACCGCTGGGCCGCATCACCGCTCAGATTGAGGCCTCACATACTCGTTGTGATTCGCAGTTGTGTCCAGTTGTAACTTAAATCATTTATGTTATTAAACTTGCATGTTTAGCATCTACATGCCGGCTTGCATCTTGTGTTAAGTTTTTCAGTCGATTCATGCAATGCGTATTTCCATTGGCTCTGTTATACACAATTGTGAATATGCAATGCATCTCACGTGGGTGAGATACATTGACAGATACAGTATAGCGAGTGTATAACGGGATGAGATGTACGCTTGTATAAATTGTACATGCACGGACACGGTATTTCATTTTCGTTCGTTTGTTTCTCAGTCCGCTTGTCCTGGCGAGGCTCGCGGATTTGGGACCCACGAGTGATGACTCAAAGTCGCTGTATGGGGCTGGTCTCGACCGGGTAACGTGGAGTGACCCGGCCACCCTTAGGCCTGGCCCCGGTGGGGGTGTCCCGGTTACACCTTGCCTGGGCGAGGCTCTCTGATTTGTTTTATATTTCAGAACCATTCACGACGGGGCTTTTGTCGGGACCGTTACTCGTCTGGAACCTCTCCTCCCCCCAGAGCTGATCGCCAAGGGAGACCCTACCCGGGGTGCAAGACTCCGGGAGACATCGCTCTGAGGCTCATCGGAACACACAAACCCCACCACCGCGATAGGGTTACAATCCTTCGGCGGGGTAAACGTTGATGTATATTATGTTTGTAAAAATATAATAATATATCGCACTGTGTGTTGTTACATTGGGGGAGGACTTCATCCAGCGGTGGATTGACCATGGCTCCTGATGATGACATAAATGTGGATGCCATCATTTGTGTACGATATTTTAGTGCAGAGCGTATTTATTTACGAGGCACGCGCGCGTGTGTGTGTGCTGTCTGCATATCGTCTGCGAACACGCCAGTATCTGCACGGTACGTGGTGTGGAGCGTACAGGTATATTCTGGCTTATTCACCATCGTTCCAAGTACCTTTCACACACCAACCCGCACTGACCATCGTGGTGAAGTATGGTCAAAATATCCAGAACATCGCGTGGGTGGTAGCTCTTGAGGAGAGAACACTCATCCAGCAGTGGATTAACAAAACCGGGCCCTTTCATGTACGCGGACAAAGATCCCCCGTATAGCCTTAAAAACCCGTAGGAGCAAGTGCTGTGAGCGAACACCCATGAAGGCCGACACGACATACGAGGGGGTGGGTGGTCAGCATCACGCCAGGCCGCCTTTGTCTCCCCAGTGGCGACGTTTACACACCGCACCAGGTACTCATTTGGGGCTGAGTTGAACGCGGGGAGCTAATCGTCACTAGTGTGTTTTAAAAAAGTTTTTTTTTCCGTGAGCGAGAATCAAACTCTCTCTCTCTCACACACCCACCACTGTGAATAATATACACCCGGGGTTGTCTCGCTCTCTCGAATCTCAGCACCCATTGAGTGGCACGTCAGATTAATTCTTCATTCAGATCACGTTTTCCACCCCCCCCCCACCCACCCACCACCACCTTTGCGTGATAGCAGAGACACGCGCGCACACGCGCGCACGCAGACACACACGGACGCACACACACACAGACGCACACACGCACGCAGACACACGCAGACGAACACACACACACACAGACACACGCTATTCCTGCCGACGGTTCCGTCACCGCTCGCAACTGCGAGTTGCGAGAGAGAGCGAGCGAGCGAGCGAGGAGCCGTACGTTAACGCGGCAGTCACGGGATGTTGGCGCTGCGCGTGAGTTGATGGTTCGCACGCACTGCTATTTTATTATCACTATACGACCGCTACTTCTAATGTCATCGTTGTTGTAATTCGCCTAAACGTTAATAAGCAACTATCAACAACAACAACAAAGCCATGAAAAACTAGCGGGAGATCTTCATGGAGGACATGCGATTATATTATCATCTCATCTCTGGGTGCTGCTGCTGCTGCTAGGACTGCCGCGTAATGATCAACTTTGCTGAAGGCTCCGACTGCTGCTGCTGATGATGATGATGGCAGTGCAGAAGATGTTGACGATGGCGCTGGTGGTGATGATAAAGTTTCCATTCTCTGGATTTGCGATGAATGGAAAGTGATTTGGGGCGATTCTCCGGACCCGTGCTCAACCTGGCTGACTAACGCACGCGCATTGCGTCTTGGGGTAGGTATAAGCCATGCGTTTCACGCACACACACACACATCTCTTATAGACTGTAGATGTGTAACCGTGCCTCCTATATATACGTAGTCTACACGTGTGCTCTATATACGTATAGACCGTACGCGTATCATGTATAGACTATGTATGTGCAGTCTCCTCGACTGTTTTGTGTGTACTAAATATGCTGTAAGGCTATACTACACTGCTATGCGCTGCACTATACTACACTATACTGCTATGCACTGCGCTGCGATGGTTTTATGACTCGTTGGGGTTGGCTCGAGCGGCGGGTATGGGGCGAGAATTTATATTCGCAGCTGATAGCGTGAGCCTTGTTCTGCGGGGGTATCACGTTAGGTAAGCACAGGTTGTTAGGCATGTTGATTGGTGGGTATCGCGGGGGCATGATTGCCGTAGAGCGGTGTACATCGGTGGCTCAATGCGCGTTGTGTGCACGGCGCTTTGCCGATGCGCGACGGGGTGAAAGCGGCTCCGAGCGGCTCGACTCTGACGTTCACCGCGGCTCAGGGATTCTAACTCAACGGGTTCGTCGCGCGGTTGCGCTAACCACAGCGCCACCGCTCCGCCACATGGGGGGGGGGGGAAATGGCTGGGAGACATTACAACTTGTCTCTCCCCTGCCCGCCCCCCCATTACTCTCCCCTCCTCCTCCTCCACCACCACCACAGTTGACATCACAGCACGCCTCTTGGCACCACACCCCGCCACGGGCAGGCAACACTGGGGGAGCCGCAGGCAACATCGACACAGGCAGCCCCCCTCCACCTTCTCTTAACGCGCGCGCATCACCGGCATCTATCCGTGTCTTTAAGCAAGCGAGCATATTATGAACGTGCTCTCCGTCGTTTTGATACCTGGAACATTAAAAACAAATATTTTATTATTAGTTGTATAATCAATAGAGCTTTCATGAATCAGTAGCAGAGAGAGAGAGTGTGTGTGTAGGAGTATTCGAGTTCTCCCTGCACGATCCGTTTTCATTCACTCATTGTTTCGAGATCCAGCGATATAGCCCCTTGGGCTGGGGAATTGCTAGGCGTGTGTGTGTGCGTGCATACATATGGTGTGTAGATAGTGTTGGCTGGCTGGCTCTGCGTGTTGAAGAGCGAGGCGAGCGGCATGGAGAACGGGTTATCAGCGGGTCGCCTAGCGAGTTAAAACGCCGTCGTGTCAAGTTTGCGTCCGGCTCATGTCTCATCTGGGTCTTTGGCCGTGCGGGAAACGCGCCATTGGGAGGGACTCTTGCAGTGGCCGGAGCATACTGCTTGGAGGGTAAGTTGCTAACCTGATGCGTTACATGCACTGTTCACGGTGTGTGTGTGTGGGGAGCGGTAGTGTAGCGGTTAGCGCGCTGCGCTGCGAACCTGGTGACCCAGGTTCAATTCCCGCTCACGGCCAACATCAGTGACGATTATCTGAACCGATCCTGGGCATCCCCTAGGTCGACTCAGCCTCAAATGAGTACCTGGTGCGATGAGTATACATCGCCACTAGAGAGACAAAGGCGGCCGGGCGTGGTGTTGGCCACCCACCCCTTCGTGTTCCGTGCCGGCCTTTATAAGTGCTCGCTAACAGCACTTGCCCCTACATTCTGCTAAGGCTATACGGGGGATCTTTGTCTTTGTTTTGGGCAAAGCTATAGAGGACCCAGCGTATTTGACGAACGTTGTGTCCTTTGCCTATGACTGGTGCTCAATGGATGTGGCAAGCCCAATCCATCTCGCCTTATAGCGTCCTCGTGATAAGTGCTTTATTCTTGTGGCATGATATGCATATACGTAGGGGGTACATTACAACAATATAAAATTATTTAGGATAGGCTTACTTTGTAATCTAGTGGTAGTGCCTTAGGCCGATAATCCCTACTCGCAAGGCAGCCTACAAAGCAACGTTCTGGAATATATAGAGCGATTAAGTGAGCCTCTTTGTGTGCCGTAAATGAGCACCTGGTGCGGTGTGTAAACATCGCCACCAGGGAGACAAAGGCGGTCGGGCGTGGTGCTGGCCACCCACCCACTCGTGTGCCATGCCGGCCTTGATAGGTGCTCGCAAACAGCACTTGCCCCAACAGTCTGCTCGGGTTTATTCGGGCTGATCGTTGTCAGTGACCGAGGCTATATAATCCACGTGTAGGGATTGACTCGGGCACGATCTGTCCTGATTCGGCGACCGGGACAGATTTCCACTCGCCCGTCACACCACGTCCACAATGAAGTCTCTCGTCATGGCTCTGGCTTAGAGTCGCGTGCCCATTTAATTCAGGCGACCAAAAACGACCCGGAAAATCATCAGCGACAGGTTACCTATGCCCCGTTAAACACACGCATCGGGCTGCAGGTACATGTCCACACGTCAATCCACTGCTGGACGAGGTTGCCTACACCCACACAGCGCGTGGGCGTCGTACGGGGGGGGCATGCGGTCCATGCTTCACCACTGCCCGTCAGCTCGGGGTTCGTGTGGCCGGGGAGCACAGAAGTCGAGTACAACACATGAAGTCGAGTACAACACATGAAGTCGACTGCACTGCCCTCTGCCGCTCTGAATGTGTTCGCGAAGCGAGCCGATTTGCGAACAAAGGAAGACAGTCGCCCATCCGAGCGACTGTCCGGGCGCAACCTTTTGCCCAGCATCCGAAATCTTGCCGGGATGCTCTCTCGGAAGCGAAGGATCCCTGGCGATATTGTGCCCATGGGCGCGCGCGCGTGCTTGCGTGTGCATGTGTGTGTGCATGTGTGTGTGTGCATGTGTGTGTATAAAGTGCGTGTGTGCATGTGTGTGTGCGTGCGTGTGTGTGTGCGTGTGCATGTGTGTGCGTGTGTGTGTGCGTGTGTGTGGATGTGTGTGTGTGCGTGTGTGCGTGCGTGTGTGTAAAGTGCGTGTGTGTGCGTGTGCATGTGTGTGTGCATGTGTGTGTGCATGTGTGTTTGTGCGTGCGTGTGTGAAAGTGCGTGTGTGTGCATGTGTGTGCGTGCGCGTGTGTGTGCGTGTGTGCATGTGTGTGTGTGCATGTGTGTGTGTGTGTAAAGTGCGTGTGCGCGTGTGTGTGTGTGCGTCGTGACACGACACGCGCCTGCTACGCTGCGCGTGGCAAAGGAATTCCGCGTGACGGCCGTGCCACTCGCCCGTGAGTGCGAGGCGTCTTGCCACCAACGACTGCTCTCGAGCTCCCACGACGCAGCAGCAGCAGCAGTTGCGGCGTGCCGAGCGGCGTAGCGCAGCGGGGTGAGCGCGTTCGCACTGCTTCAACCCGGCCACCCGAGTTCGATTCCCGTGCCGCGCACGGCTCTCGTCAGCGGCGAGTGATATCTTAACCGATCGCGGGGACGCACACCACCCCCCACCCATCCCCACCACGTTCACCAGTTCCGCGTTGACCAGCGTGGTGAAGTATGGTCAAATAGCTCCCCCACCCCCCACGACTCTCACGCGCGGCTTGGGGACGCCTTAATCCAGCAGTGGATTGACCAGGGGCTGTCTGCACGGCGCCGGTCGAGTCTATACAGCACGCATCTCTGATGAGTGTCATCAGAATCGGCAGCATCGGTCAGCCGTGATCCAATCCACTGTTGGATTGAAGTCTTTGCCAAGCCGCTGCCGCTGTCTTTCGCGATCACGCGATGGGAATAATCAAACCTGGGCACCATCGACGAACGAGAGCCGATTAATTCAGCTGTTGTTGTTGTTATTGTCTCTCTCGGACGCGTTTGCGGTTTGTTGTTGTTGAAATGTTGTGTCTGGGGCCCGTCACCTTGTCACTTTCATTCTCGGCCATGGGGGGGGCCAACACCTTCGCTCGTCTGGATGTTTGTTCCTTCCCAAGCCCCACCCCGCACCACCACCTAATCCGTGTGTTCCTGTCTGTCTCTCAATGTAATCCAAGCGCGTGTGTGTGTGTCATCCACAGTGTGTGTGTCATCCACAGTGTGTGTGTCACACAGTGTGTGTGTGTCATCCACAGTGTGTGTGTGTCATCCACAGTGTGTGTGTGTGTCACACAGTGTGTGTGTGTGTCATCCACAGTGTGTGTGTGTCGTCCACAGTGTGTGTGTGTGTCATCCACAGTGTGTGTGTGTGTGTCACCCACAGTGTGTGTGTGTGTGTCACACAGTGTGTGTGTGTCATCCACAGTGTGTGTGTGTGTGTCACCCACAGTGTGTGTGTGTCACCCACAGTGTGTGTGTGCCATCCACAGTGTGTGTGCCATCCACAGTGTGTGTGTCACACACAGTGTGTGTGTGTCACACAGTGTGTGTGTGTCACCCACAGTGTGTGTGTGTCACACACACTGTGTGTGTGCCATCCACAGTGTGTGTGTGCCATCCACAGTGTGTGTGTCATCCACAGTGTGTGTGTGTCATCCACAGTGTGTGTGTGTCATCCACAGTGTGTGTGTGTGTCACCCACAGTGTGTGTGTCATCCACAGTGTGTGTGTGTCATCCACAGTGTGTGTGTCACCCACAGTGTGTGTGTCATCCACAGTGTGTGTGTGCCATCCACAGTGTGTGTGTGCCATCCACAGTGTGTGTGTCATCCACAGTGTGTGTGTGTCATCCACAGTGTGTGTGTCATCCACAGTGTGTGTGTGTGTGTCATCCACAGTGTGTGTGTCATCCACAGTGTGTGTGTGTGTGTCATCCACAGTGTGTGTGTGTCATCCACAGTGTGTGTGTGTGTCACACACAGTGTGTGTGTGTCACCCACAGTGTGTGTGTGTGTCATCCACAGTATGTGTGTCATCCACAGTGTGTGTGTGTCATCCACAGTGTGTGTGTCATCCACAGTGTGTGTGTCACACACAGTGTGTGTGTGTCACCCACAGTGTGTGTGTCACCCACAGTGTGTGTGTCTATGTATGTGTGTGTATGTAATTGTGTGTTTGTATGTATGTATGTGTGTCTGTATGTACAGTATGTGTGTTTGTATGTATGTGCCTGTATGTATGTCTGTATGTATGTGTGTCTGTATGTATGTGTCT